GGACTTTCAATAACTCGAGTGTGTGATTGAGGACGAGTCTTTTCTCTGTACAAAGTACCCCATGATTGCCTGTTTCTGCGCACAAAGCCCCGTCAGTCCGTCACGACGCCCACTCCTCGCCTCTTTCTTTCTCTCAGAATGAAAGGCGCATTATCGACGGATGCGCCTCCGGTCGATCTGTTCGGTCAAAAATTTCCTTTCAATCGCTTCGGTCACACGCGCCGAATAATCGGCTAGTGTTGGTTAATAAAGAACAGGGAAAAACGCCTCCGCAATTTTCTTGGAGTGCTTCCCAAACGGCGCGCCCACTTTTTGGTCTATTAGGTCGTTATTTTCGCATTACGCTGCTGCTTTACGAGCGCGTGCTGCGCAAAAAATTATTCGCCAAATGCCTGGCGATTTCTGCTCGATTCGCAAAAGAACTTCCTGGAACGGCGCTCGATATTTTTCCTAAAGTAACTGCCGCCCAAACAGCAAAACACTACTGAAAGAAGGAAAATAAACAATTTTTTGATTACTACATACATATTTTTTAAATATTAAAAGAAAAAAATAATGATTATTTAAAATTTAATTCAAAATTCATTTAATTTTTGGTATTTAAATAAAATTATTTAAAACACTGTTTAATCATTCCAGCAAAAGCTGTTATTCATATTTTTAAATGAAAATTTAATATTTTTTTCACAATTTAACTTAATCAAAATAATAATAATAATATACATAAATTTGTGCGTCTTTAATTGTGTTCCAGTAATATTCTTAAACTTTTTACCCTCTAAATTATATTAAATTGTATAATTTTGAATTTACAATAATAAAAATATAATATAGCTATTTAATATTTATGCATTCTTTAAGTGCAGGACAATAAAACAATTTTCAACGAAAAATGAAGAGAGTTGTAAGCAAAATGTTATTTCATTTGCTAAGTAAAATTGATAAAAAATTTACTGCTCATAAATTGCCTTTTAAAGGTGTAGCCAAAAAGTTTTAAAATATTTTTAGGTGAAATTTTGCGTAACGTTATTGTGTAAAATCAATAAATAAAAATTGGAAAGGGTTAAACAATAATTTTGTTGCAAGTTAATTAAATATTTTAACGCTCCATTTTGAAAGCATACAATATTTAATTTTGTTCTGAAATACTCATATCAACAAAGCTTCTCATTTAGTTCATTGCTCCACATTGCTGCACAAAGCAGGCATTAATTCTACATTCATGCAAAGTTTGTTGCGCAATTCTGTCACTGAAAAGCTGATTTTTTGCAACGCACATCTCGCAATCTGAGAAGTATCAAAACGAGAAGCTCTGAATGACGCGGCTTTCTTTTGAAAGTCAAAAGGAAGAATAAGCTCGCCTTTTCTACGCTGCAATTAGTAAACACTTTGCAATGGAACAGTTCATTTGAAACTAGTTTCTCTGGTCGTAAGGTGCGGGTGGACGAGGGAAAAGAGTATCTCGTGTCTCATTTGCCAAGAGTCACGCAAATCTGGAGCAGAACAAGGGACTGAAAAAATGGTGGTGCGTCTAATGAGACTGTGCTGGTTGTCACGAGAGTTCTCCTTGTGCCAGCAAATGTCAACAGGGTGGCGCAATCAGAGGCAGCGGAAAATATATATAAGAATTCCGGCCGAGAAGAAGCTGCCGCTTTTTGATGGCGGCAAAATTGAACCATAAAGAGCGAGCGACTGATGGCGTTTCGGAGTGACACGCGGATGCAGCAATTTAATTCCATTTCGCGCCACTGCCTTGCTGGTGTGACGACGGCCAGATTAAATTACCCGCGCCGAGACAAGCAAGATTTTCGTCTCTTTACGCTGCTCAGCCGCTGGAATTCAATTCAACTCTTGAGGAGAGAAAGGGAGGCTGGTGCAAAAAGGAGTTGTTGGCCGCTCACTTACATTCGCCACGCTTGGTTATTTCGCAGAATTCATCATCTGCCGTCTGGCGTGCTCGGCATTTTTCAACAGCAGACGTAAGTCTGTTTGTGCCGCTCCAGAAAAATATATATGGCCGAAAATGCGAGGCACGCCCTCTTTTTGTTAGATGTCCCTCCGAGTAAGAAAATTGGATTTGGCCTGACTTTTACAAGAGAGTTAATGAATTCTGAACTTTTCCGACCTCATCCCCAGAATGGCAAAAAATAATGCTGTCGTGTGCAGTTAGGGTGGTGCTTTTACAGCGTCGGGAATTTTAACTTGAACAAAACCTGAAAGTTCAAATTAGGATTATAAATACAAGTAATAATTATTATTATACAGAAATTAATAAATTCTTGAATTATTTAGGATGCATGCAAGTTAAACCACGGCTTGATGGAATTAATTATTAATTTAAAGCGCTATCTAGCGCTTCCAACCATTTATCAAGGCAAACGGAAAAATACAAAGCTTAAAAAAACTGCGACTTAATTTATGAAAAATTCCCAATCAAAATGAATCACTTAATTAAAGTTCCTATTTTTATTAATGAGCCATCAATATTCTATGGAACTAACAATACCAAAATTTGTAAATATTTCTATCAGATAAAATTTCTTTTATAATTAACAAAGCTATTTCACTTCATAATGTAAAAAAATTTATGAGAAAACCATGGCCATATTGTAATACTTTCTTTTAGCTAAATTTATTTGTTGTAGAGACCTATATAATAGTAAAGCTCCATACATTCAGCACATTGCCTTTCATCTAATTCTAATTGGTGGCCAGGGGGTGTTTCTCTCTTCTCTATCTGTGTCACTCTTTGGCTGGGCAGGTCAGGCTGAGGAGTCTTAATGAGCGACGCGCCGGCGGCAGCACTGCTGAAAAATGCCGAGACGTGCTCGATTCGCTGCGGCAGGGCCTCATTTTGATTAATTAGCCGCATTATTCACGCTGATAAATTGTTATTTTACGCCGGCCGCAAACAAGCGATCGGTCGTTTCATGTTTGTTTGCCAGCCACGTGATCGGCCAAGTTTGCGCGCAATTTGTTTAAAGTGGGCAGCTTTGATGGTGCTTTTGTTTTGCGCCTCTCAATTCAATTTGCTGTATAATATGAAATTTCGCACACCCGCGGCGCAACCATATCGTAATTGATGACAAATTTTCGGGTGCTTGTGCCAATATTTTGTTTCCGTGTATGATGTAAATGACGTCCCCAGGCTTCTAATGGGAAATTGTGAAATGAAAACGGTGAACAAAAATAAACATCAAGCCATCGGATATAGCAAAACTTCAAAAGGAAAATGAGCATGACGAAATTTAGGGTAAAAATAAAATCTTTGTCTATTTCACAGTACCTTGCAATTTGATTGAAAAAAATTAATTTATACATTTCAAAATTACCACGCAACGTTGATTTGATTAAAAAGACCATTCATATTTTTTTTTATACGAATAGTTTTTTATTTCAGCTTTAATTATTTGGCTCAAAAGTGATGATAATAAATTTTATCATCCTCATTCATGCAGAAATATGTACATATAACATCCCCTTCTTTGAGCCTCTGATATATTTATTTTGGTTTACATCTTTGAAAGCTTTCGATTTGCTTGGCGACTACCATTAGAATATCCAAGTTGATCCCTCTGATCTTCATTTTCCTCCCGCAACCTCCATTATCTTAAAAATAGGAAAAGCCTCTGCAAAGATTGTGTGCTTTCTCTGTTCGCCTGCTGCAGAAAATTGATCCGAACGAGTCTCCTTTTTATATTTTGCCGAAAAAGTTGTATATATAAGAAGAAAAGAGCCGATGGAGGCAGAGAGAGAATAAAATTCAGCTGGAGGGAAGGAAACTCTCTTTCTCTCCTTTCTGCATATTCACGAGAGCTGGAAAAATCGAGCAATTTGTCACGCATCACTGCTCCCATCCGACTTAACCGATGGCGGAGAAGACGCAACCTTTCTTTCTTTCTTTCGTCGAATAATAAACATGCGTCAGTTTGACGATAATCCTTTGCAAACTGCTACGCGGTCACACATGCAAATTGAATATCAATACGTCAATATTTTATTTGTGCGATCGGGCGGCACCGATTTGTATGCACATAATTTAACGAGGCAAAGTGCCACAACGGGAGACGGATGCATTATTCAGCAATTAAAACGAGCGCACGACTGATTGTGAATTTAAATATTCGTTCACACCCGGCTGAACTTTGCACTTCAAAACAATCAGTTTCGTGTTTTGCCATTCAAATGTTATACGATCGAGCGCACACAGAAATATTGCATACAAATATACCAATTTTTATGTATTCAGGTTTTGTTTGCATTCAAATTATTACTCTGTTTGATCAAACCGTTGTTACGAATGCACCGTCTATAAATACACACAGATTATCCCATTCACTAACAATATATTTCCCATTGGTTCTAGTCTAGGTGATTTTATTTAAATTCCTAAACTCCCAGATGATTAATAAATTGAGAGCAATTTTTATATATGGAAATTATATTGTTGAAATTAACATTACCAACAAATTAATTAAACGCATATTAATAAGAGCTGTTTTCATTTGAAGTGATTTGCATAGAGCAATAGACTGATGAAGGACCAAATTTCATACCTGAATCTAAAAATAAAAACTAATAAAGAAAATAAGAAATCTATTGTCAAATTTTAATAAAAAAAATATATATTGTAATTAATTTAAAATATTAATGAAGCAATTTTTTTTTGTTAATTGCATTATTGATGCATCACATTCTCGTAATAATTTGAAGTCAAGTTTAAGTGTCAAACGGAAAAGTGTTAATGTAGTGCAAGGAAATCTCTGCCCACATTTAGATAAATCATACAAAAAAAGTAAAAAAAAACTACTAAACGTGAAAAGAGGGAAAAAAGTCGTATTTTTTCTGGTAGCTTTTTGAGGAAAAGCAAGATATTTAAACTTACACTGATCTCATTTAAATTATTAAATTTCTATTTTTATTGCTTAAAAATATTGAACTTATTGTCAAAATTGTATATAATTTTGTATATTATTTACCATAAATTTGCCTTGTTTCAGCTGGTTGGAGGGGAATTCGACATGGAACTCAACTTTGTGATCCAGGACGCGCAAAACATCCGTCACATGCTGGAACTTCTGGACCACTGCCCGCCCAGTTTGCAGGTTAGTCGCTGTCAATGCTGAAAATAATTTCCGCACCCTGTCGACTCGGTCCGTTTTTTTTCCTCTTGCCCTCGAAACAGGCGACCGAGCGAAGTTGTGCAAAAAGCGACGGATGGACGAGCAGCAGAGGAGGCGTGCGATTGGCGAGTCGGCCGTAAAACGACGGTCGAGAATTAATAATGAGATTAATGAGAGTGAGCGAGAGACTGACTGACCGTCGCTGCTGGCTCACAAGCCAAAGCACTCTGCGCACTCTCTTGAATTTTACATCGTGCGTGCCGCATGCACGCTGCTGCTTTTTGACGTGCAAAATTATTCATGCCGGCGAAAAGTTGCTTCAGACAAACCGCTACCGCAACCAAACACTTATGACCCCAAAAGCAAGGGAGATAATCCCATAAAATTTCGCGTGGAAACGAGATTTGTAAAAATTTAACATTATTATTCAAGTTGAAAAAGTTATAAAACTCAATCTCACCTATAAAAAAGAATTTCAGCGAGAAATACGGCTACAATTTTACATTATGGGGCTCAATTTATAAATAATGCACCAAAATAATAAACTGTTTTTTAAATATAAATAAAATTCTAATAAATTATAATATTGTACGCTCCCGGAATTTTCCTCTCAACAAAATGAAAAGTCATCGCTTTAATTTTTTATTTATAGGTTTCAATAATAAGGAAGATTGAACTTTTAATTATTTGTTAATTTGCAATCAGATTGAAGCAGATGAAGTTTTTTTTCATTCAAAGCCGTGTGATTCAATCAGCTGTGAAATGATCACAGCGTCGGCGGCCTTGTGTTAATTTAATTAGCGAGCAGCTATGGCATTACGCAGTCTGGAAGGGCTGGCTGGCAGGCAGGCAGATTGATTTGTGCTCATTGTATACGCCAGCCGAACTAGCAAGCCTTGATTGAATTTTGTTGTCAATGCACAAAGGACTGTGGAATCGAGTCTCGTGTCTCTTTGTGCCAATTGGGTCGGAAAATTAGATCCGACGACGCCGAGATTTGTCCGACTTTGGAGTGCCGAAAACTTTGCGCGCAGCCACGACAACTTTAATCCAACCTGCCCAACTCTCTTTTAAAAACGAAAGAATAGAAGCGACCATTGCGAGGGACGTTTTGATTTGTATTATATCAAAAAAGGCACGATTTCCTTTGGACTCGGCGAGTTTACTTTTTGCTCAACCGATACTCTCTTCCTCTGTTAGTCAATATTCCTGCGAGGCTCAGCTGTTGACCGAAAAAAGCGGCGACAGTTTGCAGCAGTGTGGAGGTTCGGTGCGGACCTCTCGGCTAATTCGATTGTGGTTTTTATGCCAAAGTGCGCTGGCCCGACCGACGCTAGCCAGAGAGCGGCTTTTCGCCTTCGGACAGTTTGCTGCAACTTTGTCTTCGTGCTTATTAGTTATTAGCCAAGCTGGAAATTTCCAGGGGAGGTGCCGGGGAGACGGATTAATTACGCACCACTTGCAGTTATTGCTTAGGGGGAAGTGAGGTGTGCAGGCGGGAGGCTGATGAGATGACGGTTAGCCTTGAATACAAAGTTGCAAAGTCTGGATATGTTGGCAGAGCAAAATAAAATACTCTTGTCAGGATTAAAATGTATTAAAGCTGAAATATAAATCAGCTGGAAGTTCTAGAAAATATTCATATTATGATAATTTTGCTGTGTTAATTCAAAATATAGAGAGATCTCAGTTATTCCTTCAAAAGCCCAATTTTTATGTAAAATAAAAATTTTAACCTGAAGTGAACATTTTATTTCGTAAAAAAAAAAGTATTGAAAATCGGTTAATTTCGTGATAAACTGATACTTCCATCCCTTATTTGAACTATTTTTAACTAATCAATTAGGAAAAGATCCAGTTTATTATCGATTTCAACCTATTCATCAATTTTGAAATTTAATTTTAATTAAGTGTCACGTAGACCACAATTTCCAACCAGCCATGTTTTCTTTAGAATTGCAATTAGCGTGATTATTTGGTGGTTTCAACGTGAAACCCTCGCCCATCTTGGCCAGCTGTTTTATTTTTGACAGGCGTTCATGCTTTGCATGCGAAATAAGGGATTTCGTTTTCGCTGCGAGTCGCGAATTCTCATAATGAGAACTCCCTCGCGAGCTGCTGGCGTGCGCGCCAGTTAAATTTTAATGATTCTTCCGCTCATTTTTGCAAACGTCGCGCAAAATTCAGCGCACGACAAGCGGCAAGGGCGCAGAAAAAAGCGCCGGGCAATTTTCGCTTTGGGTCGCGCTCGCTCTCCCAGCGGCGGCCATTGTCGTCGTCGGCGCCAAAGGAATTCTCCCTCGGCAATGATGGCGGTGTGCATTACAATGCCGACGCGATTCGTCGCCGTAAATAATGACGGTTAATGACGATAATGACACACACTCGATGGTAATCGTTGAGAGCGATGGCAACGTCAAGTCCCTTAACCCCGGCTGGCTTGCGAATTAATTCCGCCCGCTCGCATTCGGCAGATCCAATTTTGCTTGCTTGCCTTCGACCGCTGTGATAGAAATCAAAACCGACCACTGTGAAATCTAGTCTGTTTCGCCGAACGCCGCCGGCTCCTGTTGTCAACAAGAGAATTTCCCTTCGTCGGATTTGTTTCGGAATGATAATAATAAAATGCGTTTTCCTCTTCGCCGCAGCTTTTACTTTTAACTTGTAGCCCCAAACTCCCTTCAAACATTATGTGCTCTGCAAATTAATATTTATAAGCTGTGCGGCGAGCGAGCAAGCGAATTTCAAATTCATGGAGTGAAGCGCCCGAGAGAGAGATGGCGAATAATAATTTACCACCGACTGCAGCCTCCACGGTGGCGTTAAAATTATCTCATCCAAAGGGGTGAATTTTTGAATTTGTAGCATGACGGCCAACTTTTGAAGCTCTTTTTCGTCCAGGCAGAGAAGAAAACTCCAACTTTTTCACCTTTTTTTCGTATCGATGTGGATCCGATTCCGGTCGCGTTGGGAAAAAGAAAGTTTTGGCTACGTGCCGGCAAGATTTATTCGGCACCTTCGCTCGACACATGCAGATGCAGTCGAGGTTCGAGGGTCTCGCACGTCGGCATAAATAGGGGGATAAAAATAAAGCCAACAAGCCGGCGGGATGAAGTATTACGCTTGAGGGGCGGAATATAAAAATACACAGTGGGAAACGGTGCTCGCGCAAAAAGCGTGGCGCCCATCACTCATGGCCCGAGTAAAAAGGGCACACTGCAATTCTGACGTTCATTGTGCCGCGCAAAAGATAGCGCCCTGTGGCTTTTTGCCTCGCTTCCGGACACCAAAACTGCCCCTTTTCGGCCGAGGAAAAAAGAAAGCAGCAAGTAGTGAAGTGACAAATTATTAGCTTTTATTCCCCTGCTTTTTTTGGCTGCGACAGTCGGTTCCACCACTCGCGACTGTCCCGCTGCCTGATCGCCACCAAGGCTCGGCTGCGACTGGACATCTTGAAGAGCCGCGGCTTCTCAACCACCGTCCTAGACACGCGATTCCTCCTCCTTGGCGCAGACAGTCTGTCCACCCACGAGCCCTCCGTCCGAGTCGCAGAGATGACGGATCGGGCCTTGAAGTCTTTCTTCCACGAGATGGGCCTCGCCCTGAACTTTCTCACCATTGGCACGGAAACGCGGGGTTTGATGACCCTGTGTTTGGACAGTCGTTCCCACCACGGCGCTTCGTCCGTCCTGACCAACCAGTTCTTTCGCACCGGCGGACTGAGTATTTTAAACTCCCTCTTCTTACTAGATCCAGAGGAGTGCGTCTTTGTGTCGTCAAAGGTGACCGTCTGTTCTTCCAGCAGGTCGTCCAGGTCAATTGAGATTTCTTGTTTCTCAGGTTCTAGAGTTGTCGCCTCAGGTATTGCAGATTCCTCAACAGCTGGCAAGGATTCAACGTTTTCAATAGGGGAAATTTTTTGTTCTGATTCCGATAAAGCTAGAGCCGATTCTTCTGTTTCTTCTACTATGACACTTTCTTCTATGGTCTCCACTCCTGTTGCCACAATCGTGTCTTGTGTCTCATCCAAAGTTTCTGCCGTATCCCATTGATCTTGTTCAACCGATTGGTAGGTCTCACTTTCGTCGTTTGATACCTCTGTAGAAAAATATTTTTATTAATTAAGGAAGTAATGTCTATGCTAGAAATTTTTTCCCAAAAATACTTACCAAAACTCTTTTCTTTTTCTATTTGGTCCGAAATCTGTTCCAAATTCTCAACCTCATCTAAAGACTCGTTGGATCCTCGCAATGTAACCAATTCCCGGCCCAAGTCCTCCTCAACTTCTTGGCTTTCATACTCAAGCTCTGCAGTTTCTAATGTTTCCGTCTCCGCTACGTCATCTCCTGACAGTTCTTGTGCATCTTCCTCATTACCAGAATCAAGAGTCGCCTCGGGTTCCATTTCATCCTGCTGGACTTCCTTTTCGTCATCTGTCTCTACTTTATTTTCCACGGTATGTATTTTTTCCTCGAGTTTGAAGATCTCTTTTTTAAATCCACTTTCTTCCGACTTTTCTCCATGTCCATCCCCATCAAAGGTTTCTTGATTTCCATCTTCCTCCGAATTTGCTTCGTATCCAACTTTGTCCGAATTTGCTTTGTATCCAACTTCCTCCAACTTTTCTAAGTTTCCATCCCTCTCCGAGTTTTCTACAAATCCGTCTTCAGATAATATGTTGGAAAAACTATCTGAGAGATTCGTCAGGTCATCCAGCAGAGCGAGAACGTTTCCCTCGAAGGACAAAACCGACGCGGTCGTAATATTCTGTCTCTCCTTCCGTCTCTCCAGCTTTCTCCTTTGTTGCTCCTCCTCCTTCTCTTGCACCAGCCGCATCATTTTTACATAATCGCGCAAAATCTCCTTTTTCCGCAAACGCTTGCGTCCTGGCAGCGCGTTCAATCTTTGGCCAACCTCGGCGCATCTGCCTACACATAGCTTTGAATTGACTGCTTTTGGCTCTTCGGACTTCTTAATTTGGC